AACCCCTGGGTTCCAAACTTGTAGCTCTCCATGGGTGATCAAGGCTATGTAAACAAAGACATTTATTACACCCTTTCTGGTTTCCAAAACCGCTTTGCAGACTTCATCTCTCTCACAGTTTACAAAGGCCCCTTGGGGTAGCTGCTAGCATCTCCTTTTACAAAAGAGGAGGGAGGCTCAGAGAAGTTAGGCCACTCCGCCAAGGCCACACAGCCAGAATGCTCCATGGCCTCAGGACTCCTGACCTCTTCCCTGCTCACCCTTCTCGCTCTTTCTCAGTAACATAATGTCCTGATGGAAGTGAAAATAGAAATGTTTGCATCTTAGTTCTTTATTGGCTGGGTGATGTTAGGCGGGTCTCTCTGAGTCTCTCTCTCTCTGTGTGAGTAATAGAGCTGTTTGGAGGTTTAAGTGAGCTATTGCTCTAAAGACCTCATGACAGTGCCTGACATACATCTCAAGATTAGGAGTCAAAAGCCCAGAGAGGCAAAGTAACTTGCCCAAAGCCACACAGCTGGTGAACAAAGAAGCTAGGCATCTCCTCCCAGGGTTCTGCTTTCTGGGAAGTTAGGCTACAAGTGCCAGCAGGAGCTGGACCCTGGGCCCCTCCCAGCACAGCCACCAGGAACCTACCTCTGGTCCTGGTCCTGCAGCGGGCTGGGAGGAAGCAAGCACCAGCCCTTTCTTCCCGCAGCCAGCCAGCCAGCAGCATTCCTGGGGGTGGAGGAGGACCTTGGCAGGCTGGCCTTCGGCCTTGTACTGAAAACACTCAGAGAGGCTGGCCATGGCTTGTGGGTATCTTGTTGGAGGGAGAAAAAGAGAGAAAGAGAGGGGGAGGGGATGCCTGAAACTAGTCCAGGCCTTGAAGGGTCAAGACCGAATGCTTCAACACACCCTCTTCCCCCCCCCCCCCCCCAGGATGGTCTTAGGACTTGCAAATTTATTTCTATGACAATCACTGCAAAAATAAATAAATTCAATCATTCTCAGTTGTACTTTTAATGAACTGGCAAGTGGGGGAAGTGATTGCAAATTGCATATAAAAAGAGATTATTCAGGGGGAAAAAATCAGGGAGGCCATGATTAAATATTGAAAATGCAGACTGCTCTGGAAAAGCTGGGTTGTAAGGTCAAGATGCCTCGTGGGAGGAAGGTGGGGCCCATTTAGGACCATCCAGCCATCCATCCGTGAGTCAGGTTCCCTTCATTGAGCATCTGTTATGTGCCAGGACTGTGCTCAGCGTGCTCTGTGAGACTCTCACAGCCGCCCAGTGCCAGAGGTGTGGTTATGATTCCCACTTTAGAAATGCATCAGCTGAAGCTAGAGTGTTTAAGTGGCTGGATCGAGGCAGCACATTTAAGAAGTGGCCTCCAACTTCCCCTGAAGCCCTGATTTTATGCCAAGCTCTGGAGACTCAGAGATGAACAAGGAAGCCCCCCCTCCTCCAACACACACACACACACACACACACACACACACACACTGCCCTTGAGAAGCTCACAGTCTAATCTGCCATCCATAATAATAAAAGAGTAATATGCTAATTAGACCAGACGTCATTCCGGACATCCTTCCTGAGGAAGCCAGGGCTAGAAGGAAGCCAGCCCCGGGCCTGGGTGCCTGCCCACAGCCAGAGGAGGGAAGCCTGGGAAGTGGATGCCAGCAGCTGGGGGAAGGAAGACCTACTCTTGCACAAATTTTCATGCATCAGGCCTCTAATAAATTTAGGAGCAAGAGGTCATTCCTTCTAGTGGTTTTACATTCCTTTTTAAGTGAAGGACTCTTTCTCCTTAAAATCCAAGTGAGACACCGTCCTACAAACTAGATAAAAAGGTAACCTGCTCTGGCTAATGCTGGAAGAGGGATTTCACTCCTCTCCTGGGGCTGCCAGCGGGTACGTTGGAGCAGGAACTGCCATCCCAACTTGAAACTAAGTATCTCGTTTACAGATGGGACCACTGAGGTCCAGAGAGGAAAGAGCCTTGTCAAGACCACAGGCCTGGGATTTTGGCCTGTGGATTCCTGGTTCGGGGCTCTTTGCTCTGCATTAGTGCCCCCAGTGCTGGTGCTCGCCCCAGTGACTGGCATACAATATCCCAGCATTGGCCACACCCTGGCGAATTTGGCGCTTTCAGGCCAATTCTTCCAGGTGCCAGAGAAAACAGAGCACCTTGGGGGAAAGGGGAGAATTTTCAAAAGAACCATTTCTACTAGCCCCCCACACAGCCGGGGAGCGAGCAGAATGGGCCATGGCCCGGGAGTCTCAGGACCTCAGTCGGATGCCCAGCTCTCTGACCATGACTAAGATCTAGTCTGTGTTGCTCCCTCAGTTTCCCCATCTGTAAAATGAGGTGGTTGGATTACAATCAATTGTCCAGAATGGACAAATGGGGAGTCTAGAACATTCTGGGCCACCTCACTTCTGGGTCGGTGACAACCTAGGCTCCAATCAGTCCACAGTGGCTATAACACCACCCCTGGTCCCTCCTGAGGCTTGCTGACCCTCTTCATGCCCCCCTTCCCTTCCCAAGTCCCTCTCCTCCTCATCCCCCCTTCTCTTGTTTCCTTTCTTGCTTTTATGAATGAGTAGCAAAAGGGATTACACAGGCCATTTGTCTAAGCTCCTCATCGTACAGGTGGAGACACAGGCAAGAGAAGGAAGTGAGTTCCCCAAGGTCGCCTGTGAGAGGGAGGCCTGCTCTCTGCAGCAGAAGTTACTTCTCCTGCCCAGGACTAAACTCTTGTGGCTGGTAACTTTTGCCTAATATACTTGGAATCATGTTTCCCCATTGTGGGATCTCAGAGTTCTTCAAGGAGACTTAAGGCCATGCATCCAAAGGTCTTCAGAACCCCACTGACCTCCCAGGAGTTGGAGGTGGGGAGCCCCATGCTAACTCTCTTTCCATCCTTTTGGTCACAATGTGGGAGTCTTGGTTTGTTGCTAATACATCTCTAACATCCTCACTAATCTCCCTTTTCAGTAGAGAGTGGGCCCCAGCTCAGCACCTTCCTTAGGCAGTATCATCTTGCTGGAATTTTTTTTTTTTAAATTGTGGTTTAATATACATTGTTAGAATTTAATAACACTTTTATTTTCATTGTATTTATTTTATGGCTGCCTTCTATTTATAGTAATGCGAGTCTGGTTTCCCATTTATGGTAACGATATAGCGTTTCTCTGTAAAAACAAGCACATGGAAGTAAAACAATAACAAGGCAAGAGGTGATTTAAAGAGAGCTATTAAGCAAGCAGTTCTCGCTGGTGTGCGGATATGGCCAGAATCTCCACGGTGGCAGGGGGAATGGCTGAGGTCTGGGGGACTTGGACTTGGAACTTGAGCTATCTTCCCAGCTGGATGTCCTAGTTGTCTAGTTGGCCGGCTGGGTCCTCATCTCCTGCATTCCCTCCCCCCTCCATTTCCTCCTGCCTGCTTTGACCAACCCTCCAGACTCTCAGAAACTCCCTCTCTCTCACCCTCCCTCCCTCCCTCCCTCCAGCTTTATCTGGGCTCCACCTCCCAGCACCCTCACTGCAGGCTAAAGCTTTTTTCCTCTTTAAATTTATGTGCGCCTTGCGTCCAGAGAGGCCCACACAGATAGCCCCTTCCAACAGCATTCCATAAATGCGGGGCCTGTGAGGTTTCTCAGCTCAGAGGGTCAGCCTCTCTCCCAACCCTGTTTTGGCAGCTGAGAGCATGAGTGTGGAGCCTGAGGCCCTTTAGTGTTTTCCCGGTCTTTGTGTTACAGATCTTGAACAATTAGAGACCACCCCACACCCCACCCCCACCCTGAAGTGTAGCTCACTCTGGGTCCCTTTAAACATTGCGGATACCATGTGTTTCCCCCAGCGCGCCCCCCGCCCCCCAGCCACATCTCTACTCAATGAGCCCCTCCTCAGTTTATCCAGGGACTCAGGAAAATTGCTGGAAGGACCAGACATCCTCGAAGTCTTAGAGGGACGTATCCTTTTCCTGGAATGTGGGCAAGCAAAGGCAGCAACTTCCTGCCCCCTTGCAACTCTGTCCTGTGGCCTGATATCACCCACATTCACATCCAAGACTGGAGCAGGTTCAGCTCCTATCTGTCACTCACTCCTCAGTGCGAATCAGTTGAGTGCTTGCATGTGCAGAGGGCCAGCAAACATGGGTATGGGTGCTTCAGCGAGAGGATTAAAAAAGAAGAAGCTGCCTAGGGAAGAGGAGTAGACAACCTGAGCCCTTCTCATCTGGGGTTTAGCAAACACTTTCACTTGAGCTGTCAGCTTTGATCTATTATACTTGCTTACCCGTTTGGTCTGGGGCAAGTGGGGTGGAGAGCTGCTTTACAGAGGAGGTCCCGAGGTTAAACGTCTCAGTGAAGTCATGTGTCAGGGGCGTGAGGCTGTGGCAGCAGAACAGAGATGAAAAGATAAGTCCCGAGATCTGGCCTTTTGCAATCAAGTCTTTTGCATCTGGTCCAGGGTCAGCCCCTCTCTGCTGCACCCCCTCTATTCTCCGCCACGATCTAATAGCAGCCCGGGAGGGGAACCCCTGGCTTTCAGCAGGTACCCCCAGGACATCAGGAGCAGGCCCGGATGGAGAGGGTCACTGCCCCCAACCATGCAGTTGGATCTTGGTGGGGCAAAGTCAAGTTCCCTGGAATAAATACCCCAGGTCTAGCGTGCCACTCTGCCCACTTCCACAGCGGATGTGGGTCCATCCGCAGAGAGGGGAGGCGCGCAGGGGGCGAAGGAAGAGGAGAAGGGCCGAAGTTGGCCCCAGTGCCCCCAAGAGCAAGGCCTGGCTGCTGGCCTGAAGGCGGAGACCACTGGAGGGAGGTGGCACGGGGCAGGCTGCCCGCGGGCGGGAGGCCGGAGGAGACAAGTGTTCTCGCGGCCGGCCGCGGAGGCAGCAGTGGCTGCGGCGGCGGCGACTGGAGACGGAGAGGGAGGAGGTTCGGGAGGGAGCGCGGGAGAGGGAGGAGGGAGGGACGGAGCGGTGGTTGGGAGGTGGGGCCGGCGGACGGGCGGGCGGGCGCGCGAGTGCCTGCAGCTGCCGCCGGCATCTCGGGGGCTTCAGGCTGCGGGGCGGACGCAGCGCGGGGCGATCCACAGCGGAGCCGCGCGAGGCCGCCCGAGCCCCGAGCCCCGAACCTGAGCCCCGAGCCCCGAGCCCCGAACGAGCGCAGCCGCCGTCGCCTCCAGCCAGCGGGTCCCGGGACCGGCCGCCGCCGGGAAGGCAGCCGGAGCCCGGCAAGTTGAAAGCGCGCGGATCCGCCCGGGAAAGTTTCCCCGCGGCCGCCGGCGCGATCGGCGCGGGTCCGGCCGCTGCAGCGGAAAGGTAGGGGGCTCCACACCTCCTTTGGCTCCGTGCGCCCCGCCGCTGCGCCCCAGGACTTGGAGAAGCCATGCGCGCTCCCCCCGGGGACACTGTTGGGCATGGTGGGTGGGGTAGGGGTGCCATCTGGGGTACCCCAGGACGGCCCGGGGAAGCTCTGGAGCCAAGTTTTACTTAAACCAGCACGGGGAGGAGGAAGGGGAGACGTGTTCGTGTTCTAATTCCTGCTCCAAATCCGCTGAGGGCCGGGGCGTCCCCGCGGACAGGTGCAGCGCCAGTAGGCTCGGGGAGCTCTGGGTGGGTGCGTGGGGGTTGGCGGAGGGTGGCAGGTGTGGTTACAAGGTTGGGGTCTCGGCGAGGACTGCACCCCGAGGGAGGGTGCGCGCGCCACCCGACCCAATAGGACGGCAGGGTGAGGACTGGGGATGAGAAGCGGAGATCCGGGCCAGGAAGATCACTGGGCCTTAGGGGTCCTCCTAACTCGGATCTCCGCTTCTCATCCCCAGACCTCACCCTGTGAGGCTGGGGTGCCACCCTTTCCTTCGGGGGTCCCTGGATCCCCTACACGGTGTGTGCGGTGTGCTGAAGCAGAGATTCTGTGTGGTTCTCGGTGGATCCGAAGCCCGGGTGTGTGCACACGGAGGGGGTGTAGCGGGCGTCCGCTTGGAGAAGGGCTGGCGGGCTCCGGTGGGTTCTCGCCGGCTTTGGGACCCAGCGGGAGGGCGGTGAGTTAGCTGCCGCCAGGGGGCGCACTTCCCCGGGCGTTTCACCCATTGGAAGAAGGCCAGCGCTGGTTCCTTCCAGGCAATGCACTGAAATCCAGGACAGACAAACACAGACCTTCCAACACAAGAGGGGCCCCGCCCGGAGGACACCCCTCCGCACAGCCGGCCTGGGGGAGAGGGTCGAGTGTGGGGCTGGGGTGCTTCCTGTGGAGCTGCACCGTGTGCTGGAAAGCCCGGCTGCCAGGGTGTCTTGGTGAATAAAAAAAGTCACCGCCAGAGAAACAAAATCTAGAGGAACTGTACATTAACAGCGAATTCGTGTGGAGAAAATGACTGAGGGGGGGGGGGGGGAAGAAGTGGGGGAAAAGATTAACGTTTTTGAGGCTTCTTTGGAGTCTGACAACCCCCCCCCAACCCAAATCCCTGAATGCACCATCACCCTTTCTGTGAAAGTTGCATCTTTGTTCCCTGAATCTGGCCAGGTCCCTGCCTGCTGTGCCTACCTGGGTGAGGCCTTCTGGCCTATCACATCTCCTCCTGGGCACACTCTCTCTGGGCACAAATAAGCTGGGAGGCAAGGGTGGGGGTGTTGGGAGACCCTGTAGTTTTCTTGGCAGTCAACAAGAGCCCCCGCCCCTCCCATCTGTGGTCCATGGGCCACAGTCGCCTGGTCATTGCACACTTATTGGTGGGCACCTGCTGTGTGTGCCCTCAGGGACCCTGTGCGTTGAGTCCCCGTGTCCTTGCTGGCGCTGTGGCATGGGAGAAGAGTGTGTGTGTGTGCTCCATAGTGTGTGGGGCTGTTCGACATTGAAGGGACACGGAAGGGACACTGTTGCCTCGTCGTTTCTCTAACTCCCTCCCTCCTCCCTGTACCCCAAGTGAGTACAAATGAGCAAATCAAAGCCCGTGCAGTGGCCTCGCTGTGGCCAGCGGAAGTTTTCATCTTCCTCTCGGCTGGAAACTGCGAGATCGGGCGGCCCCCCTCCCGCGTGTCCCCTGAGTCTCCTGCAGAGACGATGGAAGCGGAGAGGGTCCAGAAAGAGAGCTGAGGTTCTTGCTGGCCGAGCAGCCCACCCATTGTCTTTGCTGGATGCTACCAACCTGCTCTGGGACAGAGCGGCCACAAGGAAGGATCAGCGTGATTTTTGTTTTGAGCAGAAGCGGAGGAGCAGAGACAGAGGAAAGGGCGGAGGAGGAGGAGCCGCTGTCGCTGAGGCTGGAGACAGTCTATGGGGCCAGAAAACAAAAGGGTTGTTTTGTTTTTTAGTGACTTGTTTTTCTGAGGAGGGAAGCCTGCTCAACCCAGCCAGCCCTGTCCTGTTCCACCCATTCTCTCTGCACTGCAACCCCCGCCCCCCCCAAAACTCCCATGTGCCTGAAGGGAAGAGGGAACTGAGACCCCCGGCTGCTGACTCGGAGATCTCTGATTCTGCAGTTGTTCATGTTTTGGTCAGCTTGTGTCTTGGTCACCCTGTCCCCCAAATACATTCACATGCCTGACCCGTGGCTGAAATGGCAGTGCATCAGTGAAAGTTCCAGGGCACCTTCTAAAAGCAAAGTCCATCTGGAGTTGGAGTTAGGGCACCTTGGATTGGTCCAAAAAGTACCCCCCCTGTCCCAATAAAAAAAAAATTCTACGTGAGCACCTTGGATTGGTCCAAAAAGTACCCCCCTGTCCCAATAAAAAAAAATTCTCACCTTGAGTTACTGAATGAGGTTTTGATGGTGTGAGGGATGGGCTGGAGGACAGGGTGCTGGGCAGGGACAGGTGTGCCAGGCGGTACCAAAGCAAGAGCTTGTGGCAGGGGTTTGTAGGAGGGGGTCGGGAAGGGAGCTGATTCTTCTGGGTCATCAGCGTGGCTTTGGGCGAGTCACTTCCCCTCTTGGACATGCTTTCTCAGCCTGTGACACGAGGGTGCTGGCCTAGGCCAGTGGTCAGCAACCTCATGAGCCAACAGAGCCAAATATCAACAGCACAACGATTGAAATTTCTTTTGAGAGACAGATTTTTTTAAAACGTAAACTTCTTCTAACGCCACTTCTTCAAAATAGACTCGCCCAGTCCATGGTAGTTTGTGGAAGAGCCAGACTTAAGGAGCCAAAGAGCCACGTGTGGCTCGAGAGCCGCAGTTTGCCGACCACGGGCCTAGGAGATCTGAGCGGCTTTGCAACTTAAGCTCAGAAGAGTCTAACCGCTCCGGGTGCTAGGCAGCCCTGCTCTGCCTTTGGTCCGGTGGGGGACACCTCTCCAGGCTGTCTTATCCCACCTCCCCCCCCACCCTCCCAACACACACACATACACACACACACACACACAGCACAGTGAGCCAGGCTCCTGGCCTCCATCAGTTTTCGGCAGGGGGGAATGTCAATGCCTGCTGGGAGCCTGTATCTATCCTGCTTTTCTCCTGATGCCTGCCCAGGGTTCATTCTCTCCCCTTCCCTGGGAGGAGCAAATGGTGGTGGCTGGCTTGCCCCTTTTAGGGACCCCTCTTTCCAGAGGGCTGCTCGCTGCTGGCCTATTTCATCAGCCGTTGAAAAGAAAATCAGGAACATTTGTTCAGACTCAGCTGGGACACTGCAAAGGGAGGGGCCTTGGAAACCAGCACTTTGCCCCCCCCCCCCCCCCCGCCCTCCCCCTTTCCCGCTCTCCAGGAGCAGATGATGGGTTGAGCGGGTATTTCTGCAACCTGATGCCATTGAGCAAACCTGCCAGCTTGGGCTCCTCCTGCCACACAGGCTGGCACCTTGGACCCGCATCAGTGCTCCGATCGAGGGAGGGGGAGCAGATAATGAAACACTTATTAAAATAAGAGAGAGTGAGATGAGGAGTCCCGGTGTTGGCAACGGGCAAAGCAGGCCTTTCATCTGGGCACCGCTCATAAGATGCAACCCTCAGCTTTGACTGCTGCTGTAATTAGTGATTTAAACAACCAGGAGATGAGCAGAAACATGCTCACTGTGTGTGCCTGTGTGTACTAGTCAGTACTAAGAGGCAACAGGAGGGAGTGGGATGGTCCCTGAACCAGGAGCCAAGGAGATCTGTGTCCTGTTACACATGGAGCTGTGTGGCCTGGAGTGAGTCGCCGCCCCTCTCTGTGCTTGTTTCTCTGTTTCTTTACAGGTAGGATTGCGTGGTGGTTAGGCTGCCTGAGTTGTTTGAATGCTGGCTTTCTCCTAGTTATTAGCTCTGCAGCCCTAGGATGTTCAATCTCTGATGCCTTAGCTTTTTTATATATGTAAAATGGGACTAATAATACCTTGGCAGATTGTTGTGAATAGCCAATGAGATGAAACATAAAAAAATCACTTAGCATAGTGGCCGGAAGTGGTAAAACCTCAATAGTCTCATTTTGTCATTATTATCATTATACAGTTACTGTGAAGTAGGAAGATCAACTTTGGTCCTTTCCAGCTCTGATCTTCTGGGGCACAGTGTGTGTATGTGTGTGTGTGTGTGTGTGTGTGTGTGTGTGTGTGTGTGTGTGTGTGAGAGAGAGAGAGAGAGAGAGAAAGAGAGAGAGAGAGAGAGAGTGAGCAAGTGTGTTTTGGGGATAGAAGACATGGGCACATAAACTGCTTTTTGTTTTGTTCCCTCCCACCCTCCCTCTCTTCCTCTCTCTCTTTCTTTCTTTCTTTCTTTCTTTCTTTCTTTCTTTCTTTCTTTCTTTCTTTTTTTCTTTCTTTCTTTCCTTCCTTCCTTCCTTCCTTCCTTCCTTCCTTCCTTCCTTTCTTCCTTCCTTCTTTCCTTCCTTCTTCCCCTGCTTCATTGAGGACTCCTAAGTTACAGTGTTGTGAGTATTCTCACAATAGCCCTATCCCCATGGCAAGAAGCCCACTTCGACGTCACTGAAAATATCCCGGTTTCTGGCACTTGAGGGATGATATTTCATCAGCTCCTCTTTGCCCATCCTTTCTTTTCCACCCTTTGTTTCCCACCCTGAACCAGAGTACGAAGACCATGTGTGCAGATAATGAGTTTAAGCTGATAACCATCCCCCCACCCGCTTCACTCAAATAAAAGGCCGTCCTCTGGAAGACACTTCGCACTTTCAAGTAAATAATCTGGCTCCTCTGCTGGGTTGTGTTCTGTCTGGCTGGCCCTGCTTTCTCCGTGTCCTGCCCCTGGGTCTGTTGCAGGGATGTGGGCCGGGCCAGGTTTACAGGCTGAGATTCTGGGCTCTCTCAGCCCTGCTGGCTGGGGCGGTCTCCCCGGGGCTATCCCTCTGCTTGGTCCCCTCTGGCAGGGCTGGTGCTCTGAGCCCTACCAGGGAT